TTTTCAGTCTTCTCAGTGTGGGTCTGTTTAATTTTTCCAGAAAAAAAAAAAAGTGTGCATGCATGTATTTTGCTTTAAATTCAGAAGATAGATTCCAACTGCAAAAATCATAGAAAGAGTGCCTATTGCAATGCTGGCAATCTTAGGTAGAAAATTCCAAACTCAGCTCATGGTATTCTGGATTTACCATCAGGGCAGGATCCTGAATCTGTGAAATGAATGTGCCTATACTATCTTTTTGCAGTAAACTCCACAAGAAGAAGAAAGGCTTTTGAGTAGTGGAGAGAAAAGTCAAACATTATTGGAACAGAATCTTGAATAGTTAACTTTTTAAATAGGTGACAGGGTAGACAGCATAGGAAACCAAAAGGTTTATGTACAGCTCTTCCTCACCCAGTGTATATTTGCAGGCAGGTCCCTGTTTTCACTCAGTGACTTTCTCAGCAGCAGCAAATGCAAGGTCTTCTCCGGTCCTCAGGGAGCTGTGCCCATCCCCTCGTGACAGCTGCCTCTCTGCCCCTGATCCTGAGCTCAATTTCTGCACAGGCGCTGCAGGTAGTAGCTCCATGTGCTGCCCCCATGCCAGCCAGGCCCTGTTGTCTTCAGAAGTGTCACTCTCCTGAGCCTTTTCTTTCACCACTCCGGAGAAGGAATGATCTCCTTTTCCAACAACAGAAGTCCAACTGATTATGTTTGCAAAGTACAGAATATATAATGGACAGCTCACAAAGACAAGAAAAAAAAGAACTGATACCCCGCAGCTCTTACAATCATCCAGAATAACTCAGATTGGTAGTGGATAGTTTCATGCAAGTTCCCCAAAGTGCTGCTTAAATCTCTCAGATATACCAGCAGTTTAAAAGAAAGCATGTGCTTGCTAAAAAGGTTGTTCCTGCAAAGCAACACAAGCATAAATTCACTGTAATCACAGCCATCATTTAAAAAGCTGTGAAAGTCAAGTCATCTCTTTCTCCTTATACAGCAGATAAAAAGCTTGATTTCAATATACACTGTGTGGAGATCCACCAGATAGTGATATTACCTGTGGAGAAAATAGCATTAGTTCCCCATCTATCTGAGAAGATCAGAGAAAACCGGTAATAGTCCATATTACTGAATTCACCTTGATGCTTCTGTTGCATATGTGATTACTTTGAAGCTCTGTTCGTGTTTATTTGGCTACCTTTCAGAGACAAAAACTCAAGTGCATTCTATCCTAATATGAAATACTACATAGATATAGCAGTGTTGCACCTGTAAAAAGACTGGTGTACAGATGGTTTCCTGTAAAGGATTTTTCAACCCATTAGGATGCTACTTGACATTACTATTTTATTACGAGAAACAGTTCTTTCTGGCTTCTGCTTTCTGTTCATTTCAAACAGAAATACTAGTGATAGATCAATAGGAACATAGGAGATAAATCTCTTATGCTTTGTGTTTTCTTCTGTGCTTCATTTATATCGTATTTTCTTAAAGATTTATTTTTCTCTAAATCCTATAAGCTTCATTCCTAGCCTTTTCCATAGTCAGCATGCTAAACTCCTCTGCAATGAAGCATCTCAGACCAATATGGTTCTTTAAAGATAACAGCTGAATGAGCTAGTAGCAGTGCCTGTGGAAGAACAATGCTGCCCCTGTTTATGAGCAGTTAATACTTGAAAGGCTGTCATGACTTGAAGCTTAGAGATTTTATACTGCTCTGAGTCAAACAGTATGCACATAGCTCCTTAGATGTTTGACACCACTGGTGTATGTGTTGTAGCTGGTGCAAAATGATTAAAATATTGTACATGGAAATACAGTCAGTAGATAGGAGGGGTTTTTTCTTTAAAAAAAAATAATCAAATAGTAAATAGCATCAGCAAGGAAGCCTACAGGGTTTAAATGATCTGTGAGAGGAGTCTAAGATCATGGTGCAGTATAGAAAAAAAATACAAACAGTCCAAGAGCCATGACCTATTAATGAGGACTGGGATAAGATGCAACTAAACTGGAGCTCTACTAAAGTAAAGGGGCTGCACTTACAGACAGATATTTCAAAGTGGTTTTTTTTTTTATTTAAAAACTCCACAACATTTTGTATGAAAAGCAGGTACTATTAATACTGTCATGTCTAGATAACCAATATGTCAATAAATATTTGAAAACATTCAGCCAGCTATGAGTGACAGTTAATAAACTAGTTCATGTTATTAACAGACAGAACAAAACTTTTCATACAAGAGGATGGATTCTGAAAGTTTATTATTTTTCATATATTAGACACTTTTTAGAAAATCTGTTTTAGATAGAAGATTGATTCTTGCTTCATGACAAAACAAAATACTTGTTTTGTGCTGAAACTGCTGGCAAAGATGCTAGTGCTGAGATTAATTTTCTGTGACAGGAGCAGGAAGAGGGGGCTGCCCTGCCAGGGCAGGTGGGCTGGGAGCTGAGGGGGGACAGTGGGGCAGACAGCGAGCACCCGCACAAGGCGAGCAGGGCAGGGATGGTGACAGTGACCACCAACAGCCACATCCCAAGGCAAATCTACAGGGACAAGGATGGAACAAGGTCAGTTCAGGAGGGCGAGTCAGTGGGTGAGGATCAGCAAGGTGCACGGCTGGGCACAGACATACCTACGGCGTAGCCTGGGCGAGTGTCGAGGACATGGACCTAAGCTAACATGCAGCTCCTGCAGAAGGTGGAGTGGTCCTAACCAGGCTTCTCCCTGCTCATACATGGGTCTTACCCAAGGCTACACAGCTGCCTCATCCCTGACATGGCCTTGAACACAGACAGCCAGATCTCTGGGGCAGGGAGAGGGAAGAATGCTTGCAGAGCCTGCTGCTGCCCAACAATAGGACAGTGTATTTCCATGTAGGCTACTGAGTGACCAGAGGACAATTTTGTCTACTGGCACCAAATCCAAAGACTGAAATTGTCACATATACTTCAGTTGTTCTTGGTCTTTTGCTTATTGGAGTGTTCACCTCTGTTTGCTTGCCTGCAGCCCTTTGCAACACATCGTAGTAGAGTGATATCTATTTTAACAACCCTTCTGACAGAGATCTCCAGTGGGAATCAAGAATTGAGAAACTTGCCATGCTGTGTTTACTTTTCGTAGAGGCTAATGGGTTACCAGAACTGTGGACCAGACTTCATGAGATTGCTCAATCAGCAGGTCAAAAAAAAAAATCATGTTAAAATGAGGATTTATTAAACATAAAGATCAAATAGTAATAAACAAAAGACATAATTTACATAACATGCCCCCTTTAGATATGCTGCAAATTGTTTTGAAGGTGCTTCACTTTTCTTTGTTAGAGAAAGAAAACAAAAATACCTTACATGTTTCAAAAGTCATATGTTCCCTGTAGGCCCTGTACATCTTTATGTATTCTCTGTATTAGACTTTTCTTCTTCGGTTTATCGGGTCCTTTCTTTTCAAGTGTTGGTTGTTTAAGCATACCTCATTTCAAACCAGCTCTTGAAATAAGCTTCCCAGGAGTCAGAGCTGCCAGGGTCCTCCAACGTTTTTGCGGTGTGCTGGACAGACTACTGTCAATCTAAGATTTGAAGTAAGTCTGAATGACAATGAAAGAAGAATTTGCCATGGTTTTGATATCGAAGAATTTAATTCTAAGTTAGGATGAAACTTTGAATTCAAATTGTATTTCCAATAAACTGTGAGAAATAAATTGGTTCAGGCAAGATACTGAGATCAGAATTCTCTGCTTTTTAAATTACTTTTTCACTCACTTCAAACTTAAGCTCAGAGCTTTATGTTTCTGTCGCACTTCCCTTGTTTCCCATAAAGTAGGAATGTACATAAGCAGGCAGAAATGGGAGACTGGCTTTCACCATGCACAGTGTCACTGTTGCACAGCTGGGAGATCCTACGCAAAACTCAAGCTTTCTAAACCTCTGAATCTTCTTAACAGTTTACCAGTTCAGTGTATTATCAAGTTAGCATTACTTGCACTTCTATAGAAAGATGATATGTGTATAATACCATTGAATATTGAGGCTGTTGCACAATTTTTTCTACTTTGTTCTGCTTCTACTTCTGCCACTATTGCAAATTGCTTTAAAATTCATGAACACAGTATGGCATAACAAGCTGCACAGGTAGAGGCTTTATACAATTTTGCCTTTAATGGCTAGCTTGAAAATCTTCACTCGTGTCACTAAGAGGCAATTGTGAAAGAGAAATTGCAGCTCTTTACTTCTTAGTAGCTTAACAAAATTCAGAACAATAAGATGCCAGTGATGTTTCTTAGTTTGTTATGAAAACAAGATTTATGTGATTATGCTTTCTGTGCCTGTGTTGCTATATGAATGCAGGTGTTGCACTTCTGTGCACATCATGCTGTCAGTTCCATTGCAATAATATTTGGTTCGATTGTCCAATCTGAAGCAACTTTGCAGAAAGAGAGGAATCTAAAATATATTAAAATCCCAGGAGTTCCATGAAAAATATAACCAGGTAGAGGAAAGAGAACTTTTTAAGCCTCCACTGGGGGCGGAATATTATAGTGTGGCTTGAACCATTATAAAATAGAAGATAACCTACTAGGAGAAATAAATTAGGAGTAATATAAACAAGGGAAAATGTTTCATGTGCAGTTTGATACCCCAGTCTAATTTCTTCCTCTTCTATGAAATCTTAGGTGCAAATCTGACATTTTTGTGCAGTCAGGATATTAATAATGTCTCTTTCTCACTCTTTTGCCTTCCCTCACTTATGGATTCTCTGATGACTAATAAGAATTGAACTCGTGGTACAGTCTTAGTATACTCTGGTTTAAAAGGCAAGCAGACATAGGAAAAAGAACCATTGAAAACCAAGTTTTCTTAGTGCTTTTGCTCACAAAATTGTTCCATCTTGTACTAATCATTGAAAGACTGGTAATCAGAGAATAACTCTGACCCAAAGAAAATAATATAAATAACTGCTGTTCTGAAAGGTGTTTCATTAATATTATCAGTAATTGTTACTGATTCTTGTTTTTCAGATGAAGCAGATTGGTCACGATGGCTACAACCCCACCTCTGTAGCTGAATGGCTGGATTCCATTGAACTGGGTGACTATACCAAATCCTTTCTAATAAATGGCTATACATCGATGGACCTTGTGAAAAAAATCTGGGAGATTGAATTAATTAATGTAAGTTGATCAATTTATAGCAGTAGTTCCTCCTAAATACATTATAGTACTTGCCCTTCTATATCAAAGAGAAAGCTCAAAAGCAAATTGCACTACAAATACTGTCATCAAGTACTTGTTAAAGATTACAGCTTTCATACCTATACCTGGGTTTACTGTACCCTTTGCTTCCATTTGTTTGCCATTGTCTTTAGCATGCTATTCAATTAGCGTGATTGTGTCACCGCTTCAGGATGCTGAATGACATTTAAAAATATATTTTGGTAGTTTATAGCTACAAAAGCCTAAGTCTTTGCTTTTAAAGGGTCTAATAACTACTCCTTGTAAATGTGAAAATACTTACAGTTTACTTTTTCTACATGCTCTGGCTAAATTAAACATGAAATAAGGAAACATTAAATATAGATAACAAGTTATGCTAAAGGAACAAAATATTTTATTTAATTATCAGTTTTGCTTGAAATGTTATTTACATGAGTCAGTTAAATTCAATGTCCTCATATGGGCAACCATAAACTTTAATATAGCTTTATACTGGGAAACCATTCTCAGTGTATCCCAGGCTGGAGAAATGGAGAACGTACTGATGGTGCGAAGCCATGTTTCAACACAGTGACTGCTGTATTAGGCACAAGCAGGTATAGCCCAAGACCTGCATCTAAAGGGAAAAAAAAAAAAAAAAAAAAAAAAGGAGGTACTTCTTATTAACTGAAAGACAAAACCATTCCATGTTAGTATTTCTTTTCTTGCTGTCACTTTACCATTAATGTTAACTAGCACTAAAATATAGAGTAAGAGTAAGGACCAAACTCTGCCTTACATGTTATTTCTTTTGCCTTCAATGTATGTTGTAGATGTATAACTGAAGTCAGGATATGGCTGATGCTATTACGGGTGTCTGCTGCTAAGCTATTTATGACTGTGAGTCTTTTTTCTGTAAGTGGCTGGAAGTTTAAGAAGGACTGGGGACCCTTTGCTCCAGAAGCTAATATAGATTAACAACTGGCATTCGGTTGAAAAAAGTGGAAGTGTCTGCTCACATTGTCTTCTGTAACTTAATTTTTAATCCCAAACATTTTGCCATAAAGAATTTGGAAACAAATTACCCTTTAGCTCCCCCCAGTGGATCATTAAAACCTCATTAAAGACTTGTGGTTTGATTCCAAACTTGCTTAAACTGAAGAAAAGGGAAGTACCTGCACTGAAGTTGACAGGAACGCACTTCTGTAAAATTACTATAAACCAGACCAGTATATATCTCTCTAACTTTACAGCTTAACATCATGTGCTCATTTAAGGCCTGTGCTTCTTGGCAAAATGCTCCCTTTTGCCATGAGTTGCAAGAAGCAGCTGTTAAACAAGTGTTTAAATATTTGTATGTAGATACCTATAGGGATAAATATTTCTCCCACATGATATATTATTGGATTATGTTGTTCAAGAGCATAGTAGATAAAACAGTTCTATCATTCTCAGAATTTCTGTTTTAGTCCAGTCAATATATATTTAATTCCCATCAATCAGTAGCAGACAGCTGTAATGAAATAATGTTCACTGAGAAAATCTGTAGCTTACAAAAATATTTACCATTATTTTTCTCTTTCAATTGAGGGGAATCTTTCAAAAATGGACAAGAAATTGGTTTGAAGCATTGTGCAGTCTGGCAGAACAAGATACTTATCTCTGACTAGCAGGCCTGCTGCCTGAAATCGATTTCAAAGGTCTCACTTCCCATTCAGACGATGGAAAACAAGAGCTTATTACAGAAAGTTTTTCATAAAGGAATGCATAAAGGTCAAAACCACTAACTCTGGAAAAAGACTCCTCACTTCAATAGGTCAGAATCCAGGCACTTGAAAAAGAAGTGAAAAACCAGGCTCGACGTCCTGAAAAGAATTCAGAGTACTCTTGGTTTGGTGGTTCTTGGTGCTTAAGTTGTAGATGGAGCAAGAAGTTTTATTTGCACTTACACCAAATACGCAACAAAGATGTATCAAGGGCTACAGATATGATAACTTTTTCATTTTAGACATCAGTTGTCATTTCTGCTTTGGTGCAAGGAATCCCTTAGTTCATATTTGGTGCTTCTTTCAGTTACGCCACTGGAAGATCATCCATGGTTTCTGGAGGGGTAGAAACAGATTTGAAGGTAGAGATAATATCTTCTATTAGGTAAACTGGCCTAGCTGAAAGGACAGGACAGAGTAGGGGACATTTCATTTTTCCCAAGCCCTTATTTATATCTTAAAAAATTGAAAGTCTTTATCTTCTTTCTACACTTTTTGTGATCATCAACTTACATGCCTGTGGATGAAGTTCATGAAGTTTCAGATTTTTTTTCCTAGATCTAAACCTGTAATAAAGTCATCCTTTATCATAAGGCATCTCAATATACTATTGTGAGTTTTACTCATCACATGCCTCTAAGCTTCCATGTGTGATGCTGACCAAGATACTTTTCTGCTACTTCGGGACATAAATCTACTCAATTCAGTTATTGAAGCAAGCAGTTCATTTTTTGAAAGACAGAAAAAATAAAGCATATTCTGAAAGTCTCCCTGCAGCTGAATCAAGCTAGCATCCCTAAATTCCCTTTATAAAGGATGGCAAAAGAGAAGATCATCCAGGCGATGATTCAGGGTGGTTAAATTATGGTTAATTATCTCTATTGCTTGTTTGTTTCTCCCTACTGTCATGCAGGGATGCTAAGAAGATTAGCTTTAGTATGAGTGTTGATCTGTCTGAGGGTAGATCCCTACAGAGGGGTCAGGGCAGGGTGGATTGATGGGCCAAGGCCAGCTGTATGAGTTTCAAAAAGAGTATGTGCTGGGTCCTGCACTTGGGTGACAAAAATGCCATGCAATGCTACAGGCTTGGAGAAGAGTGACTGGAAAGCTGCCCGGCGGAAAGGGACCTGGGGGTGTTGGTTGACGGGCAGCTGAATATGAGCCAGCGGTGTGCCCGGTGGGCCAAGGCCAACGGCATCCTGCCTTATATGGGGAATAGTGTGGCCAGCAGGACTAGGGAAGTGATTGTCCCTTTGTACTTAGCACTGGTGAGGCACCTCAAACTCTGTGTTCGGTTCTGGGCCCCTCAGTACAAGAAAGACATTAAGATGCTGGAGCGTGTCCAAAGAAGAGCAACAAAGCTGATGATGAGCGTAGAGAACAAGCACTTTGAGGAGCAGCTGAGGGAACTGGGCTTGTTTAGTCTGGAGAAAAGGAGGCTGATGGGAGACCTTGTCGCTCTGTACAACTACCTGGAAGGAGGCTGTAGCAAGGTGGGTGTCAGTCTCTTCCCAAGTAGCAAGAGATAGGACAAAAGGAAACAGCCTGAAGTTGTGCCAGGGGAGGTTTAGATCGGATATTAGGAAAAAATTCTTCACTGAAAGGGTTCTCGAGCACTGGAACAGGCTGCCCAGGAAAGAGCTTGAGTCATCATCCCTGGAGGTCTTTAGAAGATGTGTAGACATGGCACGTAGGGACATGGTTGGGGGGTGGATTTGGCCACATTAGCTTTGCGGTTGGACTCAATGATCTTCAACGTCTTTTCCAACCTAAATGATTCTATGATTAAAGTTAACCTGTGTGAGTTATCCCTTACTCTTATAGGACACTGGAACAATCAGAGCTTTATATCTTCTTATCTCCTAAAAAGAACAGTTCTTACTCTTTTTCCAACAGCATCCTTGAAAGTTACCATTTACACTAGCACATTAAAAAAAAAAAAACAAAACCGACTGTGAGGAGAATGCCAAGCATGTGAGAGAGGGAGAAGGTCTGACACACTGATAGTAAAGGCCATCTTCCCTCAGCTTCTGTGGTCCTCTAGCTACCTCACTGATATTAAGAAATAAATTTAATATGCAGCTTCCTGCAATTTATTCCACCAAGGTAATGTCTTCTCTAACTTAGGTGCTAATTTTTTTCAGACTTTTCTGTATACATATATATAGTGTCTGTTTCTTCAAGCACAATCAAGCAGCAATTACTTAAAGCATTTGAATCAGAAGAGTAGTTTTAAAAGTTATTAGTCTGTGTTTCTTGTGAGCTTCCACCAGCATTCTCAGTCTGTTTTCAACAAGCCAGATTCTGAAATTTAGATTCTGTTTCACTAATTCGTCATTTAGATCAAGAATTTTCCCAGATCCATTTGCTTCATTATTTTCTCAGGTATGTACTTCCTGGGAAGTATTGTTCTATTTTCCTTATCCTGGGATTGTGAGTATTCAGAATGCCTCTCCCAGCATTGGCTTTCCCAGCACTTCTGGGTTTGCCTCCCAGGTTTCTTGGCTCGTTAGAGAGATCAGATTCTGTACCCAGATTCAGATATAATTTATTTGATGCTGTAGCTCTGTGGAACTCTTGTGAAATATATATAATCTGCTGAAAAAAAAGTCCACTATATTCTGAAATCCCCTAATGCATCTAAAGTGTGCACCTGTGCTTTAAAGTATAAATGCTCTTCTATATGAGTAATCATATTATTCTTGTCTGTTATTCTGGATTAGTTACATAACCCTCCCCCTCAGGGAGTCACTCTCTTCAGGGAACTTTTACCAAAGAGATTCTTCAGGCGAGATATAAACAGCTTAAAAGCACAAAGCAAGTTATTTATCGTCTAACACACACAATACGTTGTAGGACTAATGAACTAGGCATTAAATCAACCCCCACCAAATGAGTCACTAAGTCTACTGTGCAAGTAGTCATCCCTCAGGTAGGGGAGGGCTGGCCTCTGTTTCTCCCTGGAACAGGCTGAGCTATGATGTTGCTGAGTTGCTGTCTTCTGATTTCACTGGTTTGCCTTGGGATTTTATACCTTTTCATGTGAGTGTTGTTGTCCTTGAATCTTTGAGCTGCCATTTTCCCCTGTTTCAACAATCTTACTTATGTCTGCAGCTTTACCTTTCTTATCTCGCATGCTTCCAGCCTGCGCACTCTCTCACAGCTCCTTCTCACGCCCTAGCAATTTTCTCAGAGGAAAACTGAGAACGGTTG